TGGAAACTGTAACCAACAATACCAATCACCTACTTGTTATAATTGCAGAGAAATTGGACATACCTCTAGAATGTGCAGTCAATCCTTCAACCCTGAAAATTTCTGACAAAATGCAGGCCAAAGCGACAACAACTGGAGAAACCAGCTGAGACAAAACCAGAACCAAGGCAATAATATTCAAAATAATACCAGCCACAATAATCAACCACTGATAAACAATTCCAATACAACAAATAAAACAGCTCTTTTGAATCAATTACAACCATTACTTACAGTTTTACAATCCATAAACAATGAACAACAATCTTCATCTAACAATTCTCTTAGAACCACTCTTCTTGTGAACAAACAATATAATGCAAATGAAAGAAAGAAAGCCAAAACAAAACATAATGGAAGACGACACTGATGAAGCTGGACCAAGTAATCCAATTGTTGATATCCTATCTTCAAACATACAAGAACTAACTGTACCAATTAAAACTGCTGAACTTGAAAAGTGAGTAAGAAAGAAGAAAGGCAAAGCAGTATTACCAGTTCTTGCTGATCAATCCTCACCTTATGACATCTTAGAGGATATGGTCAATGCAAAAGCAAATATCTTATTTGGTCAACTTATTCGAACTTCTCCTGAACAAAGGCTCAAACTATCCAAAGGTTTAAGAAGACCAATCAAACCCAAAAGAATTTAAAAACGCAAAGCTATGATCGGACAAAAGCTAAGAACTACCTCAGCCTGGTGTGAAACAAAGATCAGAACTGTACCAATTGATCTAATTCTTGATACTGAAGCATCTGATTGTGTTATAAGCCATGAGTTCTTAAAGAAGTAGAATATCAAGATCCAATGAAAATCTGAGGTTGCTATGACTGATATTACTAGAACTGTTAATCACCCACTTGGAGCTATTGATAACTTTCTAATTACTGTTGACAAACTCACTATCCCAACTGACTAGGGATAGGAATCGATTCTTAATCCAGAATCGATTCTAAAATCGATTAATAATATCAATTAATCGATTAATTATTTTAAATAAATTCGATTAATCGATTTTTAATTTGAGAATCGATTCTCAAATTTTAATCGATTAAAATTTTAATCAATTCTCAAATTTTAATCAATTCTCAAATTTTAATCAATTCTCAAATTTTAATCGATTAAAATTTTAATTGATTCTCAAATTGTAATCAATTCTCAAATTTTAATCAATTCTCAAATTTTAATCGATTAAAATTTTAATCGATTCTCAAATTGTAATTGATTCTATAAAATTAATCAATTCTCAAATTGTAATCGATTTCGTAAAATTAATTAATTCTCAGAATCGATTCTAAATTAATTGATTCTAGAGAATCGATTCTCAAATAGGTCATATTACGTTTTTTTTAAATATACTAAGAGTCGAAATACATAGTTCAGGAATTTATTATTAATCAATTTATTAGAATTAGGAAAAATTTGTACAAATTTTCAGTTTCTTTTAATAAACATAATTTGTTCTATCAAATGGCTATTTAATCAATTTTGCTTAGATGTAATTAAGTTTCCCATATCTGAAAATAGACACTCAGATGGAACTGATGTGGCAGGAATTGTCAAATATTTACATGCAAGTTGTGAAAGAATTGGATATTCAGATTTATTTGCTCTCCACCAAATTATTGGATCATTTTTCTCCAAAGCTGGAAGCTCTGGGATTTTCAGATATTTTTCAAATTCCTCTTTTACTGATGGATGAATAATAGCATTCTTTTTAGCAAATAATGCTCCCATTGCTGATGATTCTTTTTGACTGGTAATTTGTGATATAGTTGAATTGGTATCTGAAACTGAGTGCAAAACTTCATATTCAATTCGAATTTGTTGAATATATACTGCACGCTTATTCTATAAATGCAAAAAATAAAAAAATTATATATGATTAATATATATACTCCAAAAATAAATGATAATTAATTTTTATTTTATTATATAAACGTGATATCTTGTGATCCAGTAACCAGATTCAAGTGAAAATACTATCACTCAATTCATCTTGATTAGACAAACAAAATGATAGCATTTCACTTGAATCCCGTTGTTGAATCACAAGATATCACGTTTACATGATTTTATTATTTAAACATGATATCTTGTGATTCAGTAATTAGATTCAAGTGAAATACCATCATTTTATTCGTCTAATCAAGACGAATTAAATGATTATAATTTTACTTGAATTTAGTCACTGAATTATGAAATATTACGTTTAAATGATAAAATTGTTTAGACACAATATCTCATAATTTAGCAAATAGTTTTTGAGTGAAAATACTATCACTTAATTCATATTAATTAGACAAATCAAATGATAGCATTACAAGATATCACATTTGAAAGTGAATATATTATAAAA